AAATGGATTCGCACCCACAAAAAAAAAAAAGAACTCCCAAAATATTCACAAAATGTTAGAAAAATGAAACAATTTAATAAATCTCCTGAATATTAGGGGAAATAAACCTCAAAATAATAATTTTAATGCAAAAAAAATAAATAATTGAATTGTCTCAAAAATGTGCGAAAATCATAAAAAAATAAATCAATTCACAGAATATTTATAAAAATGTCTGAAATCTGTTCAGAAATATTATTAAATGAGTTGGTATATTGTCAAAATATCCAAAAGCATATTAATAAATCAATATAATAGTAAATAATAATAATAAATGTTTCACAAAGCAGCTCGAGCTGTCAGTCAGAGGAACAAACAGCTCTGACTTGAAGCTTCCAGCTCTGTAATGGAGTACTCTGATTACTGTGGGTACTCTGATTACTGTGGGTACTCTGATTACTCTGAGGAGTGGGTGGGTTTCCTGTGGGAGGATCCGTCAGCTGGACTTTAGCCGGTCGGTGCCGCTGCAGCCTGAAGTTCGTTTCTCTGCGTCTCTGGTTGCCTTCAGTCAGCAGTCATGTCTAAAAGTTCTGTTCTGGTTCTGGAGAACTTCATCGGAGGGAAGTTCGTGTCCTGCCAGAGACATGTGGACTCGTACGACCCGTCCACCGGAGAGGTGTACTGCCAGGTCCCAGACAGCGGGCCGGAGGAGGTCAGTGGTAATGTTAATAATTATTCACACCGTGTAGTATTCAGTTTGTGTTTTCAGGTTAAACCCGGTTCAGGTTCTGCTCCTGCTTCAGTCTGGACCTCAAACAGGATCCAGCTTCTCTAACTTCTCTTTTAAACTAAGTCAGTGTAACTAGATGTTCTGAGTGAGCAGGTTGATCCAGAACCACCTTTGCTCTTTAGGCGGTCAACACTTCAGTAATCATTAGACAGAGAGTCGATACGGAGCAAAAGCTCTGTTAAACATCCTTAAAGTAGTTCAGGAAGGAATTTTAAATCAGGGTCCAAACAGGATCCAGGTTCTGATCCACTGATCTGGTCTCAAGTGTTTCTGGGATTTCTGCTCAGATGTTGGATCTTTGGAACATGAACTGAAAAATACTATCAAAGGTGCTGAAAAAAGTGAGACAAAAATTAATATAAGAGCCCATAAATATGAACAAAAGTCTCAAAAATAATAAATTATTCAATTAAACAAACAAACAAACAAAAAACAATAAAATTCCCAGAATTTATGAAAAAAACAAGTTAAAAAAAAATATCCAGGAAAATCAATGAAATGTCAGAATGTTCTTCAGAAGAATAAAACATTTGAATATTAATGAATAATAATAAAAATAAATAATAAAAAATATTAATAAAATACTAAATAAAGGTTCCAGAAATTATAAAATGTAACCAGAAAGAATTATTTAATACAACTTGAAAGTAAAACATCTCAAACAAAAAAAAATGTTCACAGAATAAAAACAATCGACAGTTTTACAAAAAAATAAATAAAGTTTTACTAAAATGTCCCCCTAAGAACAAAGGATCCGTCTTTTTGTGTTTTTACTCGGTTCTAAATGACGGATTTGAGTCCTCGGATTGACCTGAACAGAACGGACTCTGACTGAAACCGGACCAGAACCATCCTCTGTGTTCCTTCGACCTGCTTCTTGTCTTCCAGGTGGACGCCGCCGTGGCAGCAGCCAAACAGGCCTTTCCTGATTGGTCGAGTCGCAGCCCCGAGCAGAGGGCGCAGGTCCTCAACAAGCTGGCCGACCTGATGGAGCAGAACCTGGAGAAGCTGGCCCAAGCCGAGTCCAGGGACCAAGGTGCTGCTCTGATTAATAATCAATATGATCAGTAAACTAGTCTGGAGGAGCAGAACCTGGAGGAGCTGGACTCTCTCTGAGCTTGTTAATGACCTGAGTTAGAAACCAGCAGCAGGATGTGACTTTGTTCACGTTGGTGAAACATCAAACTTCTGCTGAACTCTGAAGGTTGAACAGCTCCATCTGATGTTCTCTGGTTCCTCTGGACCGGTTCTTCACTGCAGATCATCTCCTCTCCGTGTCTCTGTGACCCTCCAGGTAAAACCGTGACCTTCGCACGGACCGTCGACATCCCTCGCTCCGTCCACAACTTCCGCTTCTTTGCGTCGTCGGTGTTCCACCATCTGAGCGACTGCAGCCTGATGGACCACCTGAGCTGCCTGAACTACACCCAGCGCTGCCCGGTGGGCGTCGGTGAGCCTGTTGTGTGTCTGTTGTCGACCTGTTGTGTGTGTCGTTGCTGCACTGAGGGTTTCACTGCTGTTCATGCTCAACGTTCCACCTGATTGCTGGCCACTACTTGTTCTATGTAGTTACTGAACATACAGCTGGAACCAGAAGTTTACATCCACGGTATAAACAGACATAAACCTCTTTGTGTTGTGTGTCTGTTGTCGACCTGTTGTGTGTCTGTCGTTGCTGTACTGAGGGTTTCACTGCTGTTCATGTTCAACGTTCCACCTGAAACCACTTGTTCTCTAGTTACTGAACATACAGCTGGAACCAGACGTTTACATCCACGGTAAAAACAGACATAAACCTCTTTGTGTTGCGTGTCTGTTGTCGTGTTGTATCGTGCAGCCGGCCTGATCAGCCCCTGGAACCTGCCCCTCTACCTGCTCACCTGGAAGGTGGCGCCGGCCATCGCCGCAGGCAACACGGTGGTGGCCAAGCCCAGCGAGATGACCTCGGTGACGGCCTGGATGCTGTGCCAGCTGATGCAGGAGGCCGGTAGGACTGCAGCTCCCACGATGCACCGCACGGACAGGTAACAGCAGGTGAGTGATGAGCTCGTCTCTCAGGTGTTCCCCCAGGTGTGGTCAACATGGTGTTCGGTACCGGACCCAGAGCCGGCGACGCCCTGGTCGGCCACCCAGACGTCCCGTTGATCTCCTTCACCGGCTCCACGGCGACCGCCCAGCGAATCACGGAGCGCAGCGCCCCCTACTGCAAGAAGCTGAGCCTGGAGCTGGGTGGGAAGAACCCGGCCGTCATCTTCGCTGATGCAGATCTGGAGCGATGCATCGAGACCACGGTCCGGTCCAGTTTCTCCAACCAGGTGAGAGAACAGGAACACAGACGGATGCTCTTATGTTCATTTACATCTGGATTAGATGCTGCATTACTCCAAAGAACGTCTAATAAATGTCAAAAAACCTCCTCAGAACATCTGGTTCTGTATCTGCAGCACCTTTATCTACTGACCAGAGTTCTATCTTCAGACTGTGAATGTTCCAGAGTTCCAGGTCCTTGAAGTCCACAGAGGAGGGTCCAGATTTATCACTTTAATGGACTTTTTCCATCATTTCTGAGCCTCAGAGCTTCATCAGAACAGCAGATAGACACATGACATTTAGGAGGAAGAACACATCTGAGTTCTGGTAGAACCTGACACCAAGTGGTTCTGAGGAGGAACTTGTAACTGATGTTATATGAAATGAGGGTGTAGTTCCTCAGTTTGTCCACACAGAGGCGCTCTGAGCTCACGTTCTCCGGCGTGTAGCTGGAACACTTTGTGAGTCTTGATCTGTTTTGTTTCAGGGAGAAATCTGTCTGTGCACCAGCAGGATCTACGTAGAGCGAAGCATTTACTCTGAGTTCCTGCACAAGTTTGTTTCTGCAGCTAAGAGGTGGAAGACCGGCGCTCCGTCAGACCCGAGCAACAACAACGGAGCCCTGATCAGTAAAGAGCACCTGGAGAAGGTGAACTTATCTCCTCACACGCTTCAGTGGAAACCTTTCTCTGTTCCAGTCACCAGGTCTGCAGCTTCAAGTCCAAATGACTGGAAACGGGTTCATAACAACTCGAAAACTCCTAAAATGCATCCCAATATTCTCACAAATATCTCAAAATCTGTCCCACATGACTCTAAACTAAATACGTTTCTAACAATAATCCCAAAAATGAAAAAATTTTGTAAAAAAATACTAAAAATTTGACCCAAATGACTTAAAACTTGCTCAAAATAAACCAAACAGGCCCAGAACAACGACAACGTGTCCAGAATAACCGAAACATGTCCAGAAATACTCGATATCCTCCACATGACTTGACATGTATCCAAACTAAGGCCCAGAACCACCACAGAGCTCAGCAGAACTCCTGGCCCGTCTGTTTGTGTCTGAAGCTTCAGTTTCGAGCTTCTCTCTGTTTCAGGTTCGCAGCTTCGTGGCTCTCGCTAAGTCCGAGGGCGCCGTGATCCACTGTGGCGAAGGCGTGGACCCGCTGGTTCTGCCGGAGCCCAACCGGTCCGGCTACTTCATGCCGGCCACGGTGATCTCCGGCGTGTCCGACACCTCCAGGGTCATGCAGGAGGAGATCTTCGGCCCGGTCACCTGCATCAGCCCCTTCGACTCTGAGGACGAGGCCGTCTCCAGGGCCAACGGCGTCCGCTACGGCCTGTCGGCCACCGTCTGGTCCACCGACGTGGGGAAGGTCCACCGGGTCGCCCAGAGGATCCAGGCCGGGCTGGTGTGGACCAACTGCTGGCTGGTCAGGGATCTGAACCTGCCCTTCGGAGGCATGAAGAACTCTGGAGTCGGCCGGGAAGGAGGGAAGGACTCCTTCAACTTCTTCACCGAGGTCAAGACCATCGCCATCAAACACTGAGACGACGGAGGAGCTTCAGAACCGAAGCAACCGTCAGCGATCAGAACACGAGATCCAAACGTCCTGAGACCGAACCAACAACCAGAACAACTGATCTAAGTGTCACCTCAGTGTCTCCTGGAAACATGTCGGCTCCGTCTGGGCTCAACCTGCTGGACGAGTCCAGGCTGACAAACTGGTTCAGAATCACTCAAACTTCACCAAAAAATGATCTGAAACTTTTCCAAGATGTTCTAGATTTTGTCTAACTTGACAAAAATGACTTAAAATTTGCACAAAACAACTCTGAGCTCATTTAGGACGACGTGAAACTTCCCCTAAAATGTGTCTAAATGAAGAGAAGGTCTAAATGACCAAAGCTCGGCTCAGTCCGACGGTCTCAGGACGTCTCTCATGTTGGTTCTCTGCTGAACATGTAGCTCCATCACTGAGCACTGAGCCTACACACCTGACAGGTAAATCACATCAGATCCAGTTTGTTCATAAAGATCATTTAGATTTGACAACAAAACCCAGAAAACAGGACGAACACTCAAAAATAGAATCAGTGAATCTAAAATACTAAAATATTAATGAGAACCAATAAAAACATCCATCCATCATCTCTACACCTTAATCCTCACTAGGGTCATGGGGGGCGGAGCCTATCCCAGCTGACTCAGGGTGAAGGCAGGTTCACCTGGACAGGTAACCAGTCTATCACAGGGCTACACTTAGAGACAGACAACCAAGCACACTCACATTCACGTGAACTTCTGTTGACTTTGCGACGGTGTGTTTATGTCACAAGATGTCTTCATATTTAGTTTCTAATGTTGTTTTATAATCACACAGATCTTTATTTGTCATTTTCAAAAACGCTGAAGATCATAAATCAGGAAGTTGTTGTGGTTTCGTAGCAGAACTTCTCTGAATGAAACCAGCTGATGCTAAACTTGTTGTAAAACTGTCGTCTGACGGGTCTGGTTCCGGTCCGATAATAAAGAGGTTGCTGTCGGCTCTCTGTTGTTGTTGTTGTGCTACAGAAGTTAAAGGTTTACGTCTGGTTTTACGTCAGAGCCTGAACTGGCTGTTTTTCTGTCGAGTGCTGACGTCAGAAGCTGAAGGAAACATGAAACATTTACCCTCAACTTAAACAGAAAACAGGCTGCTGGAGGGTCGACGACTTCTGGACTTTAGTTTGTCTTCTACAGTTAAAAAACATTTTAATCATCAGCTACTGAGTGATGAGCAGCATAAAGACAGTTCAAGGAGTTAAACCCTGAAGAAAAATGAAGTTTTCAAGTCGACAGTTTAGTTTTAAATCAACTGAAACACAAACATGAGTCGGTGTGATGTGACTGTTTGCACCTAAAATGTTTATTAAATCATCTTTTTTTATATAAATCTATTTTAAAAAACATTTATTTTATTATCATTTCTAATTAAACTATATTACAGGAGCTGTTAACTTAATATTTTGCAACAGAAACACTTTTTTTTTAAGGAAAAGGAGATGAAAAATTCAATGATCATTAAGTTAAAATTAGAAATTAGAGTTTAAATGAACAATATTAAGTTGATGCAACATTTTCTGAACATTAAATAAAATAATGTTTATTTATCTAAATCAGTAAATGAGAATTTTTATGTTGCAACAATGCACTTAATTATTTTTTACAAATTTATTTTAAAATGGGTTTTTTTTGTTATTTCTAATTAAATGATGTTAAAGGATTTAGTTTTTTTTCTTTACAGTGAAAAGTATTTTTATTAACTTAATTTTTAAAACAGTTTTCAAGGATTTGATCCTCTGAACAAGGAGAAGATCAATTAAATAAATGATAATTAAGTTCCATCAGCTTGAGTTTAGCTTTAAATCAACTGAAGCAGAAATTTGAGTTTAATGAACAAAACGATGTCGATGCAACATCATCAGAACATTAAATAAAATCATCTTTACAACTTTAAAGGGTTATGAACTGAGAATCCATCTACTGCAGCAGTAATAACAGGAAACGATGACCCGTGTTCTGCTCTCTGGGGTTCTCCGGGTCTCCTGGTCCTGCAGCAGAACTCGGTCGACGTGCAGCAGCTGGAGGACGTGTCGGACGTTTGGTGCCACCGCAGGAGAACTCTGAGTGAACTCACGTCTGATCCTCGCCTCAGACCCTCCCCAGAGCTCCGGCTGCAGAACCAGCGTTGTACTGATGGAACCGGGCCAGGAGGCAGGCCTCTGACGAGGAACGCAGCCAGTCAGCACTTCATTCACCTTCCGCCCTTTTTTCTGCATTTATCTTTGATCTGAAGTGGATGTTTCGCTGAGGAGGCCTCGCCCGGCGCTACGTGACCCGCAGGAGGCCAAACCAAACAGTCCCCCGCCCTCTGGAGGTCTGGGGCAGCATCCACCAGTCCACCAGAACCAGGCTACAGGGTCAGAACCAGGCTGGAGGGTCAGAACCAGGCTGCAGGACGTGGAGGGTTCTGTCTGCAGACGTGTTCGGGCTCTTTCAGGCCCAGTCGGGCTGTGAAACGTTCTGTCTGAAACATAAACGTAGAGTTCAGCTTCGTGTTTGGAAACAAGTGAGTTCATGAAGACAGAAGAAGAGCAGCAACAGAAAGAGCTGACCTGGAAAAAACAGTGATTCAAAGAGTTTTAAAACTGGATTTAAATTTAAAAAAACAATTTACAGTTATTTTACAGATTTTCCTGTTTTGTTGTTGAACATAATATTTAACAAAACCACAGAAAAAACACATTATTTACATGTTAACTGTTCAAACAACAAACAAAAATCAGCCCCAAACTGAGATTAATAAATAGTTAAATAATATTTTAGAAATATTTGCTGAAACTATGACATGAAACATGTATGTTAGGGACTGAAACATGGTAAATACCTTTATTTTTATTTTGTTTTCTACGGTTAGTTTACAGACATTCGCTGTTTCTTAAATCACAGACAAAAGCATTAATGTACATTTTACTGTAAACAAGTTTTTTTCTACAGACATTTTTTTTCACATCGTCGCCGTTATTTAAAACAAAACACTGAGTATGTTGAGGACTGAAAAACAGAAAAAAAATTAGGTTATTTTACAGATTTGTTCTGTTTTTGCTAAACTGCAGATCAAAAAAAGAGGCCATAACTGTCCTCACTGTGTGAACAGTTCAGTTATTCCTCTGTGGTTTAACATCGGGGGGCTTTAGGGGGCTTTAGGGGTTTTTTTTGTACCTTTTGCACCAGACTCTGATTGCCTCTGTGTGACTGTTCCAGTGTTGAGTCACTGTGTTTCCTCATGTTGCACATTCTGCAGATTAAATCTGTTACTTAACTGAGCTTCCTCCACTTTAAATCAGTTCATTCATTCAGTGCCACAACATCAGCTCAGACTAAACCAGTAATCAGCAACTTCCTGTCAAACTCCCTCGTCTCTCCTTCTATTAAACGTCTGCTCTGTGACGGTCCGAGGCCTCACCGCCGGCTTCAGGGAGGATCACGACAGACGAAGCTGCTGGACGGAGCCGAGGCCCGAGAAGGCTGCAGGTCAGCAGGTTAAACCAGCCGACGGAGAGCAGCGCTGCAGGAGGACGGAGGTCTGCAGCTGCATGTGCAGGAACACTGACAGAAGCACGGAGCAGCCAGGAAGGAAAGATCAAGGTCAAAGAGAAAAGAGCAGCACAGGAATGTAGAAGAAGAAGAAGAGCAGCGACTCCTGAGTCAACGTTTGACTGGAGACGAACATATGGAGGAACCATCATGAAGGTTTAAAGGAATTAAAGGAGCCACATTTAGTTAAAGCAGATAATTTAACATTGTGTTTAATAACTATAACAAAGGCTTCTGTGTTATTTGATTTAAAAGTAAATTGAAGTTCATGTAACTTAACTAAATTAGTTTCATAACTTTATTTTTCTCCACCTTGAGTTCAGGGTTTCTACTAAACCACCTGGACAGCTGGAGAAGGTCCAGACTGTGTTAGAGGAGCTGCAGCTAAACTAGAGGACGCTTCAAGGTGAGCATTTTACAAGTCTGACCAGCAGTCGACT